TAAAAATTATCTTTTAAAAGAGTTTTTAAGAAAACATCAGTTAAAAGATGAACTGATTTGCGTTTATAACCAAAAATTTGTTTTTTTAATAATAAAAAAGGGATTCGTGGTCGGTTACGTTTAGGGAAGGATTAGCACCCCTACAACGCCCAAAATTGGTACTTTTTAATTATACACTGTCTCTAATAATAGAATTTAAGAATTCAAATATATATTTAATTTATAATTCTTGTTATTTCAAATTTATTAATCTAATTTTTTATTATTTTTAGATAAATATTTTATCAATATTTATTTATTTTTTATATCGAAGAAAAGAGCTGTCTTAAGGCACCTAGAAGTCATTTTCTGATATTTCTAAATAAATAAATATTTTTATAAATATTTTCTTAAAAATTATAGTATTAACAAATTTGAAATAACAAGAATTATAAATTAAATATATATTTGAATTCTTAAATTCTATTATTAGAGACAATGTATAATTAAAAAGTACAAATTTTGGGTGTTGTAGGGGTGCTAATCCTTCTCTAAACGTAACCGACCACGAATCCCTTTTTTATTATTAAAAAAAATGAATTTTTGGTTATAAACGCAGATCAGTTCATCTTTTAACTGATGTTTTCTTAAAAACTCTTTTAAAAGATAATTTTTAGGTATTCGACCTACCTGACCCAAAAGGCCGATGGCGACTCCCAAAACATTTTAAAAATTATTTATTCACATCACCTTTCCCGCCAAAATAAAAATTTCGTACTCGGACAAAAATCGGTTACGACAGAATTAATGTGAAACTCGGTTTGTGTATTGAATACGAGATAATTTTTGTTATGTCGGGTTTATATAGGTGTGTCATTCTTTAAGTAAGAAAGAAGTTGTCCCGTTTTTCAAAAGTAAGATTTCGAGTTGTTTTGTGACAAGTTGGTTGTAATATTTTGATTCCAAGTAGTGAATGGGTCTATATTAAGTTTGGGGTCTTTTGAAAGTTTTCTTTCTATTTTTGGAGTCAGATGTGGACTTTGTATGGCTGTTCTTGGGGCTTATTTTGCATCCACTGTTTGTGGATTATATAATAAATAAAATTATTGTTGTGCTAAAAAAAACAAGTGTTTTTCATGTGCACCATTTTCTTCTTTTTACCGTTGTAACATTTTCCTTCAAAAATGTTATGGTCATCTTGGTTTTTGGAACGTTCCTTTCATATGAGATCCTTTTTTTTTATTGGATTCGCACTTGTCACACTACTTGAAACTTATCTCTCTTCTATTGGTATAGGGTGTCTCTTCTTTATTTTTCAACAAGACTCGTCCCATTTATTTCACTAAATCTTCTTAATTAATTTTCTTTTAAATTCTATAAGTATTGATTGATTTTTTCATCTGTTAGAAGATAATGACATGCATAATAATCGCCCAATAAAATAGATATCAAAATTTTACGTGGAAAACCTTTTCGGAAAAAATCACGGCAGAAAAAGAGAAAATTCACTAATGTCAATAGAAGAAGAATACAAGAGTAGAAATCTATTTTAATAAAGCTCTTTGATTTTAATTAAACTAGGTTTATTAATTTCCCAAATTAATTTGTGCCACATTGAATTCGAGTTAAACTTTAATAAATCTCCACCTTTACATGAATTCTGAAAATGCGAACGTTTCAAGATAAAACACTCAAATTCGATACGACACCCAGACTCAACAAAAACAATTATCTCTTCAACGAACAAGTTTTCCACCTTGAGAACGTATTATCCACTTTTTCCACGAAACCCTTTAGAGGGGTGTTCTTCAACAATGATTGCCAACTGAATCCAAAGCTTGTCCAAACTTGAATTTAGTCTTCACATATATAAGTAAATTATAAGTGCTAACTTTGCTCATCACTACAAGCAATATCATACACAACACCATCCTGATCATCAATGGTAATTCTATATTTTCTGTTATGCTCACATAACTGAATTTTCTTATTCTCAAATTTGTTATGACCACATAACTAAAATCCCTTTTTCTTCTCAAACTTGTTATGCTCAGGGAATAGAATATTTTTTTGCTCCCAAAACCATTATGCCCACTGTTGTTTGTTCAACACAAAATCCTCCTTTGCCACAAAGGAGAAAATAATAGATCATCTTCTATAATTGTTGAATCCTACAGAATATAAAATTTGATAGTCTTTCTCTGCACTTTCATCAGAATAAGAAAGCTCTTACAAATTTTCGTATCTCTACCATTCACAACGTTATCTAGTGTTGCGATCCAACAACAGAATTTCATACTTCAAATATGTCATTATCGTGATCGAGTCAAATAACTTGGACGCTCTAATACCAATTTATTAGAATATAATGACATGCAAAATGATCGCCCAATAAAATAGACACTGAAATTTTACGTGGAAAGCCTTTTCGAGAAAAACCACGGGCAAAAGAGTAGAAAATTCACTGTTGTCAAGAGAAGAAAAATACAAGAGTAGTCCTCATGGACAACCTAATCTCTATCCCTAATTCTTAGTATCTATTTATAAGGATATATACTTGATTACAAATGAAACTAAATAAAGTAGAAATCTACTTTAATAAAAAAAATTACTTTTAATCAAACAATTTTTATTACTTTCCCAAATTAATTTGTGCCACTTAGAATTTGAGTAAAACTTTAATACCATCGTTGCGTAACAATAGAAAATTTTCTGAACTTTAACTTTCGACCATGGAATAACAACTCTAATTTATATAAGTATTGGATAATCAAGTTAACTTACTTCATATATAACAACTTATCCTGTAGAAGTCACAGCTTCACACCATTCTCTTTAAAGAATAGTTTGGCGAATGTTTCTCAAACTTGATGTCTCCTAACATCTGGAATGCACTTTAATATATCCTTCTCCACTGTTTTCTTGAAGGTGTGCATTAATTTCCCTACTTTTATCTTCTATTTTTATTGTACCATTTGCATATCTTCTTTTGGTTGCTTCATTTTACTATCATTCACAATCTCCTAGTAGTATTTTCCTTGGAAATATACATTATGGAAGTTGATCATATATTTTAGTTGTCAATATTAACATTTTTTATTTCGATGATAGTATCAGTGTATATGTATGTTATTGTTATTTGGCTAATGTTATAAGACTCTTTAGGTGTTCACAAGTGTTTTGGTAAGTTAGAGTATATTTTAGGCCTAACCACGTCATTTCTCCAATTTGGTATCAGTATTGTTCATGTAATAACAATATCATATGAATATAAGGAGAAATCCAAATTTTCCTACAAAGGAGTATCGATACTCTATTCTTGTGGTATTGATATCATTCATCCAGTATTGATACTTATCCTTTTTGTATATATATCAGGTTATTATTTAGATTTCGAAGCTAATTTTGGTATTGATGCTCAAGGTGAGTACCGATGCTATAGGAGGTAGTATTGATACTCGTGTGGGGGAATCAATACCGTGGGGATTTATAGTACATCGTTGCTTATTTTGGTATCAATACTTAAGGTGGTTATTGATACTCTTAGGATAATATTCGTACTCGCATGTGAGTTCGATACCAACTGGAATTAATTGGTCTTCGAACATTGATCTAGTATCGATATTTAAAATAAATATCAATAGCATTAGGCTTGATGCTGATACTCAAACTTAAGTATTGATACCATTAAAATAAAAATGTAGTTGTTCTCACATGTCTTTGAAATGGTTTCCAAACATTTTAAGGTGGTTAAAAGTAGATGCTGATTGCAATTGGGACTTGATTGGTTCTTGATGACTTGCCCTCGTATTGTTCATAAATTGTCATGCATGTCTCGTAAGTGATTAAGTTACCATGTGAATAAGTTAGTAAATGTCTAAGGTGAATAAAAATGGCAATCAAAAGTTTTAAATTAGATACGAGTTTGTAAGTCATGAATCATGATTAATCTGATGACATCTTTAATTCAAATTCGATTTCTGGATCAGGTTGAGGGTGATACAGCTTTAATCTAGGTGACAAGTATGTTAAGTGACATTTTGAACAAGAGGTACATTTGAGTTTTCCGACTCGTCTTTCAATGACCACCAATTTGAATATCCTTAGCGATGATTATGAAGTCATTTTCTATTGTTCAACCACTTGATTTGTTATTGCACTAGGTAGGTAAACCGTTTAGTCACTATTGTGGAGATCAATATTGATGATGATGTGTGAAACTCAATGCGACAATTATAACATGAGGCCGATCAATAGTCATAAGCTCAATCATCTAGCTACTAATGGTTAAGAGAAGATCCATTAGAGATTGTGGAAATCGTTAACCCATCAAAAAAACCAAACAACTACGCTACTATTAAGAATCTCTAATTAGTTATATTACTTATGCACTTTAATTTTTACTATTAAATCATTATTATTTACTCTAGGATGAGTCTTGCATCCCATTAGTAGGGTAGCTAATTAGTGTGAGAGTCATTATTTAGATATATTATACATTTTCCGTGTACATTTGATTCTCAAAATATTTAAGTTATAACTATTATTTGACAATAGTATTGTGCGTTTGTAATTATCTAGTAGATTAGTGAGAAATAATAAAAACAATTTAAAATAATAATAAATTATAAATTATTTTACGAGTTGAAGTTTTTAATACAATTACCAAGAAAAACATACTAATGATCGCAATAGATAATGACTCAAGTTTATTTAGTGACTAATTATTCTTTTTATACATGAGAGAATATTGGAACTCAACAGTAGTCTTATTGATGAAAAAATATTATACTTTTTTAAAATTTTGAGCTCAAACAATTACAACTGCAATATGTGTGTGTTTTCAATTAATTAAGTTCTGAACAATAATCATCCAAGGGGTTAAGTTCTCTATCTCCCTTCTGGTTATTTTTAATTAAGTTTTATTTATATCAATTAATGCATCCAACTCAGCAAATGAAAAAAATGGAAATTGCCACATCATCATAAAACACTTGTGACATGCCATGTGGACCACAGTATCATTCACTTGTATACATAATAATGGGTGTTTCCTCTTGATTCACTGCAACTTCAGCCCATGGATGTTGGTGTCTCATTCTTAGACCCTCCAGCTCTATTGCAACTTCCTTCATTGTAGGCCTTTCATCACTTTTCACTCTTAAGCACCTCTTTGCTACTTCTGCAACTTGTTTAATCTGCCGAATATCTCCACCCTTCGCCACTTTTTCATCTACAATCTGAAACAAGTCACCAGCTCTCATTGATTTCAGAAAATAGTTGGTCAAATTCCTTTCTTCTTCGGGGGCGTCAAAGGTAAGTGCCATTTTGCTAGTTAGTAGCTCAACAAGGACTACACCAAAGCTATAAACATCGCTCTTCTCATTCATTTGGCTCGTCTGCAAGTACTCAGGGTCCAAATATCCAAGTGTCCCTTGCACCAACGTCGATAACTGCGTTTGATCCAACGGAACTAATCGAGAAGCCCCGAAATCGGAAACTTTCGCGGTGTAATTGTTGTCCAACAGTATGTTTGCAGGCTTCACATCTCTGTGAATGATTGGTGTAGAAGCTGCAGAGTGCAAATATGACAGCACTTGCGCTGATTCCGTAGCTATCCTTAACCGAATCTCCCATGAAATCGAACGATCCTTGTTTTCACAGTGGATGTGATCGGACAAGGTACCATTGGAAACAAATTCATAAACCAACAATGGGACCTCAGTCTCCAAGCAACAACCTAAAAGCTTGACAACATTTCGATGGTTTATTTGGGACAGAATGATGACCTCGTTGATGAACTGCTTTATTTGACTTTGATCAACAACCTTGGATTTCTTGATAGCTACCTTTGTGCCTTTCTTCAACATACCTTTGTAAACTGTGCCGAACCCTCCCTTGCCGATGATTTGGCTCTCGTCGTAGTTCTTGGTTGCTTTCTGAAGCTCTTCTGCTGTAAATATCTTGACGGTTTCAGTCGATACTTGTCGTTCGTTTAGCTCTTGCTGTAACAGAAAACCACCGTTTTGACGGAAAAATTTCTTCTTCATTTTGATTAGCCTCCTTTTCTTGTGTATGAAGAGCAACCATGAAGAACCCACGATAAAAACTAGCACAGTTAAGCCGGAAACTGCCATGAAACACCAGCTAAAATGTTACAGATGATCTTTAAAAAAAATCATAATATATATATTTAAAAAATGTGTAGAAAAGTTAAAATTAGAACCGAGCACCCACTGATACAGATACCAATCACATTTATTACATTTGGTATGCAGCCAATTCCACCTTTTCTGCCATCGCCATGAAAACCTTTGGAGCAAGAACAAGTATAATTTCCCATTGTATTAACACAATCCCTCTCAGAATTACAATTGTGGAGACTCGAATCTTTGCACTCATCAATATCTGAACAAATTCGGAATTTTATGTAACAAGGGACAAACTTATAAAATGTCAGGAGACGAAACATTTTTCGACATAAGATAATATCTACCTTGGCAACCATTGTGAAGATATGGGTTCCCATAGTAGCCATCCTTGCACTTGCAGATATAACCAGACCTGTTCACAGGATCGTAGCAGATGCTATTTTCCTTACAAGCATAGCCGGATTTAGGCTCGGCTACCATGCAAGTTTCGTTTCCGATCGCCCAATCGAGCACCAAAGGAAGAGATTCTACGTTGGCCAACTCCTCAAAGCTTTTAAAGCTGAAACTGAACTTGCTCTCGTCGGTAACAAAGGCGTAACCGCAAGGATTAAAGTCGGATACGTTGGTATGATTGTTGAAACTTGTCACGGATATGTTGAGATTCTTAAGTCCACTAGGAATTGAGATTTGGCAGCATCCTATACCCGAGCAAGAACCATTAAGGTCGAGTGTAGTTTCCATTTTGTCGCAATACGAGATGCAGCCGGTGAAATATCCGCTACCGATGTCCTCACGTTCAGCCGTTATGATTGCCTCTGTGTCACAGCCGACGCCGGTGAGCTTGTTTTTATCGTTCGAGATAGTGAACATGTCCGCCCACAACACGGAGTTTATCCACATCACGAGCGTGCCGTCGGGGTCGTAACAATCCTGAGCTACATAATTCAACATTTCCAGCTGACCTTCAAGTGATATGTTGGTGACAACTACGTCACTGCCAAGTAACTGTGGCCGAGGGGGGCTGAAAGAATGGTTGCAAGTGATTGCGAAATTCTCGTTCAAGTAACAGCTCGGTGTTGAGCCGAAAGGAAACGGAATGCTCACTTCTCCGCACTTATCTTGGCAACCCGGTAAGGCTTGGGAAGCCGCCACAGCCGCCGCTGCAAGAAACAAGGCCCAGCTAAACAAGATCGACCGTATAATTCCACCCCCAGTAGCCATTGATGAAGCTGATGATTGTTATATCTCATATGCACTTGTTTTACAGTCGAATGCTACAATATTTATACCTTCTTCAATTCTAGGACGATAATGATTCGATATTATAAATTAGGCTTAAATATAGAATAAGTGTTTAAACTATACCGCTTTCCACGAATGGGTGTTTATAGTAATTTTTTGAACGATTACGGTGCTGACGTTATAAACGTTACCACTTTAGATTCTTCGTTCATAAACACTGTTAATTTCCTTTATTAAGTGACGCGTGTCACATTCTGATAATTTTAACAATTTTATTTTAAATTAAAAAAATATAATTATATATTTAAAAACACACACAAAAATTTCAAAATAACCCCAAAACTTTGAAAACTTTCATTTCAACCCCTAAACTCATGTTGGATGCCGTCCTTTGCCGTTGACAAAGCTTCACCCTACCTCACCTACCCCCGACAATAAATACTTCCATGAAATCGCGACCGATCAACGACCAATAGACGTTTTGTACCCCACAAATTCTAGGATAAAAATCGCGATCTCACACTATTATGACGGCCAATCGGTGGCAACTATGGCGTCGTATGACTACGAGGATGACAAAAACTAAGTCGGTGGCGATTGTCGTGGCCGAAAAGGGCGTCTTGTTAGGGTTAGGTTTTAGGATTTTCATGAATTTTGGTGTTTTTTAAATTTAAGAGAAATTAGGCTCTTTTATAAATATAATAATTTTTTTTTTTAAATTTAAAGTTACTAAAATATAACATGTGTCACTTAACAGATAAAATTAACGGTTTTTACAGATAAAACACTTAAAGTGACAACGTTTGTGATGATTAAAAAATATTGTAGGCACTAATCGTGAAAAACATTATAATTTAGACACTTATATTTAAGCTTATAAATTAACGATTAAACTTACTAAAAGCCAAAATTAAATTTCAATTAATATGATCCAAAGCTGCCGCTTCATGATACAAAGCTGCCGTTTTGATGAACCAAAGCTGCCTGATTAAATCAGAAACAAACACATAGTGAAAACGCCGTCCGAAGTTCAGTACAAAAAGATAAGGCTGTTCGACGCGAAAGAGTGATAATTTTGATGAACGATCAGAATATATGAAGAAAAGATATATCTAAAATATGATGTACAAAAAACGAATTAAACAACATCAATGGTTAAAAAGATGATTATTATTCTTATAGTTTTCAGAAACAAATACAATATCTATAATATATTTAACCGGTTATTATCAAATGATTAAAAATCTTTCAAATATATATTAACTTGTAATCATTTTAGACTAATAAAGAAAATGATATGGGACAAAACATTAATAGTAAATAAATCAACTATGAAGCATGTAAAAAAAGTTATTATCTATACTAATAATTAAAATTCTAATTGAATTCATATAAACCAATTTGTAAGATTCGATCGAATAACCAAAACTTTCAACTATCCATTTTTTTTTATTTCATAGAATTCACTAATTTTATTAAAAAATTAAAAATATCTAAATTATAATAAAGAATTATAACCATAATCGTAAAATAAACATATAATAAAAGATATTTTTTTAAACACAAGAAAACTAGTCACTTCACATAAAGACTAAATAAGGAAAATGTTAAAAAACCTAACCAAATAAACTCAAACAAAAGGTAGATACGAACAAATCCGATCGCATCGACAAACAAACCACAAAAGACAATGAAATTATTGAAAGACCACAATCAAACCACAAATCAAAATCGAATGACGTGAAAGATCAACATGATAACAAATATGTGTTATCTTGATCAATCGTGATGATACCAAATCTAACCCTATAAAAAAGATAAACAAAAATAATAGTCAAACAACCGAAAACGTGTCATAAAAGAAGAAAAAAAACATGTCATAATGGAAGAAGAAGACATACCATAGCATAATTACAAAAAAAAATATACTATAATAAAGTAAATGAAAAATAATAAATATCGACGATCAACAACTAGCATCAAAATTAGTGTTACCGCAAATCATAAGGATCTAAAAGAAAAAAGAAATTAATGATGACTAAAGAAAAGGGAGAAAAATAGTACAAACCCTAATATTTTAATTTAAAAGTTAAAACTATCCACTGTCTATCTTTTATTAATTTAGATTTTCGAAATATTTTTTTACATATAAATTATTTTTTTCTATTGTTAATATAGCAATAATTGATTTTTGTTGAATTTGGTAAGGTGAGTCAATTGGAATATCAATTATGATAGTTATAAATCTCTCTAATTTATAAGTATAATAAATAGTTTTGCAAGATTTCTTTAAATTTTGATTGATTTTAGTGTGATGAGTCAATTTGAATACCAATTCAGTTGATAATTATAAATTTATCTTTATTTTTCAAGATAGATTTTTCCTCTTCTTGATGCTTTGAATAACGTTGATTGTTAGTTTTTTAGGGTACAACAACAAACGATCACAACAGTAAGTACAATAGTAATAAGCAGTAGAACACAATCTTATTTTCTCTATCACCAGAAAAAATGAATTTTGAAGGAATATTTTCTAAATTGTGTGTCAACTAACCTTTATATAGTAGAGAGAAAATAAATTAAAAGGTTAAGATCATTTGACGAAGAGACTTAACCTTTCACGAAGATAATTGTTGAAAAGCTAATATGTATGATTGAATGGATGCAACTTTAAACCAAAAATTAATAACTCTATTCACCAAGTGACAACTTATTATTAACGTCAATATTATTCAAATAATCTATTATTTTTCCAATAATCCCCCACAAGAATGAAATTTATAGTTCAAAAACATTGACTCAATGTGGTGATTAATTTTAGAGTAAACTACACGGGAGACCACTAAACTATGGTAAAAAATCAATTTGACCACCGAAGTTTCAATTGAATCAATCAAACCACCCAACTATTTAAATGTTTCAATCAAGTCACCGACCATTAATTTTTAACAGAGATGATGACATGTCTGTTAATAAAATTGACATAATTATATATTTGGTCCTTAATATTTACTTATTCTATCAATTTTGTTTTCCTTTTTCACAACAAACCAGAATTCTTTTTCTTGGGCAATACCAAACTAGAATTCACCAATCACGTGAACCCACTACAACAAACCCATACATACAAAAATCTACATTTGTTTCCCATTCACCACATCGCCGAAAACAAGTATTTCCGGCCATTAACGGCGTTTGCATTATAGCTCGCCCCGGTAGTCTTCTCCACCAAAAGATTACTCGGATATATCGGGTATGAACCTGACCCGAATATCTCGGTGTAAGCCGAAACTGCCTTCAATGGCGCGTTGGTCGACCCCTGAAAATACCCATTATTAATCGAATTGGTAACGGTGTTAGCCAAAAGGTGCCAAGTTAATGATCATTCCATCAACCCCAACGTCTCTGTTAGGAGCAACTAAAGGTGGCGTTTGGGGACCATAAATAGGTCGGTGAAATGGCCAGGCGCATTGATCGGGACACTGAGTCTTTGAGTTCCCAACACAGATAAAGGTACTACGAACCAAACCACGAATAGACCTGTAAGTCCCGCACCTCATGCAAAAGCCTTCGACGGCTACATCTTTGTTCGTGAGGATGATGCTGATAGTATTAAATTTTCCGACCAAGTCTGGCAAGTGTGAGTTCTTAAGGGTTTTACCAAGTAGGTAGTTTTCGAGGAGGACTTGCTTGCCCACAACTAAGGTGGATGAACCGCTCTTGTATTTCTCAGTCGTTTTCCACCATGAAGATGTCGAAGGAAGCTTGAGGTTGGCAAAACTCAATGAGTTGATGAAATCGACGATTACGGAGCGTTGGGAAGGGGGTAAACTTGCCGTACCATATGAGATTGACAATGATTTTGCCCTTTTAAAGAGGGCCATTATGGTACTTCAACTCCATAGGCTGCTCTTGAACCAACTCGTAGAAGGAAGAATGGATGATACAAAATAGGAAAATAGTGGCAAGTTTGTAAATAGAAGTTGCCATTGTCTTAGTTATGGGAAAATCTTGAGAAAAATATCAACCGGTGGCTTGATTGATAGAATATGTAAATATTAAGGATCAAGTATAGAATTATTCCAATTTTATTAACGGGCACGTCATCACCTTCGTTAAAAATTAACGGTCGGTGGCTTGATTGAAACATTTAAATAGTTGGGTGGTCCGATTGATTCAATTGAAACTTCAGTGGTCAAATTGATTTCTGACAATAGTTTAGTGGTCTCCCATGTAGTTTACCCTAAATTTTATATTTTGATATTTGCATATGATTTGTAGGTGTCCCCTTTGAACATTCCATTGTGAAAATATGTTTACCTTATTGGTGCCCTTGAACTTTCATTATGTTTGTGTCAGCGATGACATACCTCACACAAATACATCATTGATAAGAATTTGGTTCTCATGGTTATGTCCATATAACCAAGGACATCTCCTTGTTCTATAAGAACTTAGAGTACTATGTCTCAATAAGCTCTTCGAAACATCTTCACTTTAATCTTATTTAGGTGATTTATGTTGTTCGGTTCACCGAAATATACAGTGGTCATTAAAATCATTTCTTAACCTTTTTCACATCTTAATCATTGTTTTCTTTATAAGAATGGACTTGGGATAAGAACACCTAAAGTGACTTCACAAGATCTATATAAGTAGGTTGCCCCATTGAACCTAAATCTTAGGATCTCCGATTAACTATGTTGAGTTTTCTTTCATATACCACCTTAACAATTCATGGGTTTCAGTCTCATTCCTCTTGATGTTTTTATCAACTTGATCTCAATTAAAACATTTGGTTAGCATATCCGCAATGTTTATCTTTTGATCTTACAAAACCAATAGATATAACTCCAATTGAGATCAATTGTCTAATGATATTGTGTCGATGACATACGTGTTTCAACTTACCATTATACATTATGTTATGTTCTCTACCAATTGTTGCTTGATTATCACAATATATGTATATTTTGGAC